AATAAATAAAACTTAAAACTAAAAGAAATTTGTTTTAGTAAGGGTAAAAACGAGAATGCACAACTCATTAAACAAAAAGAGTATGGTAGACAACATGAGAGTATCATAGACAGGAGTAGGGTGAGATTGTAGTATTTCAGACATTCGTCCGAAAAAGTTGCAGAATCAATAAGTGAAAAGATATTAACCAATACAGTTTATACACGTGTCAAAGTGGGAGAAAGCGAAATTGGTGACGTGTCGTGTCGGAAGAAGGAGAGAGCCATCAAGCTTTTATATAGTAGATGATACCCAATGAGGTTTACCAATAAACATGCTCTTAGTATTCATAAATGTGAAACAGAAACCCCCAAGGAACTATAATGAAGAGTGGGACAGTTAAGGATAATGATGCTCCAATTGTTGCTACCTTCTCTTCTCGTGGTCCAAACACTCTCTTTAGCGACATTTTGAACGTATATAATCACTCAAAACAAAATTTCACAAAACTTTTGTTTTGAATTTACTCTACTCGATCAATGTCTTGACAATTAAAGGTGAACGAATGTATAAATGCAGCCTGATATAACAGCTCCAGGAGTGAATATATTAGCAGCATATTCACCGGTGGCTCAAACCGCGCTTCCCGGACAAAGCATGGATTACTATTTCATGACCGGGACGTCGATGGCTTGCCCTCACGTTGCAGGTGTTGCTGCTTATGTCAAGACATTCCATCCTGATTGGTCTGCTTCGGCCGTTAAATCTGCTAGCATGACCACCGGTAGTCATCAACATCAAACAGATCTATTCCGCGAAGAAATAATTTAACTGATGTGAGACCCGAATAAATCTTTATTGTTTTGTTGCAGCTTGGGCAATGAACGCTTCCAAAAATGCAGAAGCTGAGTTTGCATATGGATCAGGATATGTAAACCCTTCAGTGGCAGTTGATCCAGGGCTTGTTTACGAAATAGCCAAAGAAGAATACTTGAACATGCTCTGCGCTTTGGACTACTCATCCAAAGGCATTAGCACTGTCGGGGGAGATACCTTCACTTGTTCCGAAAAATCAAAGATTCAGATGAAAGATCTCAACTACCCTTCAATGGCAGCCAAAGTTTCAGCTTCGTCATCTTCAGATATCACATTTTCGAGAACGGTCACAAACATTGGGAAGAAGGGATCAACTTACAAAGCAAAAGTGTCTGGGGATCCTAAACTCAGCATCAAGGTTGAGCCAGAGACGCTCTCTTTCAAGTCTCCAGGTGAGAAGAAGTCTTTCACCGTTACAGTCTCTGGCAAGAGTCTTGCGGGTATTTCGAGTATCGTGTCTGCTTCTCTGGTTTGGTCAGACGGATCATACAATGTGAGGAGTCCTATTGTTGTGTATGCTTAAGAGATCAACCCAAAATCAAGACAATAGAGAAACTATTTGATGTTATGGTAGTGTTCTACTGTTCTTTTCTCTTCTCGATGTAAAATTCAGTTTCGTGAATTAAATAAAAAGAGGATTCTGTTAGTGTTTACATTTCATAATCCAAACTCAGTCTAGGTTATGATACAAAGTGTCTTTGTGCCGCAGAGTAAATGGTTCAGCCTTTGAAACTCTAACTATCACCCTTACTTGGAAACATACCCTCCATGAATTCGTCAAAATTTTCTTCATCCTTGGCTTCTCTATCACAACCTTCCAACTTGGACTTGGACTTGCTCTTTTTCCCTGCCATAATGAAATATACTCGATTCACTTTTACCGAAAATTATAATAATCCATAACCTTTTGCAAAATGAACTACATAATACTCTACTCCCTTCAATAGAATAAGATCTACAGTATATTGAACTTTGCAGATTCCATACCTTTTCTCCTCTCCTCTTCGTCTCTGTCGCCTTCTTCACTGGATGATCGATTCCTGAAATTCAAAATCAGTGAATTTTAGCTTAATTGTAATAGTAAAACAGAAAACCATGACCCTTAGTTGTAACGTAACGCTAAACTTATTATCCATACCGT